CGCAAAAGACTCCTGGGGGTGTTCAATTGTTTGTCTTGCTGACTTTACTTGATACCTTTTCAGGTCTCCTACCTCATCCTGTCGAATCCTTTGAAATGCGAGCTACTCGTGATTGACCCGAGCTTCTCAACACACAAAAACCCCGAATGGGACCGGATTGTTTCGGAATTGGTTTGTTGAAAATTGCGCACTGTTTTTTCAAGTCCAGTTAAGAGCAAAACAATTTCTGGTTAAAGCAAACATTGTGAAATAGCAAAAAAAAAACTGAAAGGCTAAGATTAATTAGTTTATGATACGACTGGAATGATACAGTCTTTCTAATTAAACTGTCCTGAAGTGTTATGATGTTGTTAGAATTCAATTATTTCACGAAACAGCCAAAAAGTTTACACTTTGAGTAACTACCTAAACAAACACATTTTTCGACTCTTCTAGGATTCTCCGGCCTTGATTTGCCTGCATTCTCCCTACATGTTGTCCTCAAATAACAATGGAATGGAAATGATTGAAAAAGCCGTCAACAAGATCTTCTCAATGCCCACAAAAAGCTATTCTCGAGTCGGCGAGGAAGAGGTGAGAGAATGAATGAGCAAAAATGATTTGCCCATTGATCTGCACAAAAAAAAAGGTCAAATTATTTCTTGTGCCAAACTAAATTTCTCTAGTTTCTCTAGCCAACTAGCCAACTTTTTTGGGGCGACACGAAATTATTCCTTTCTGTAGGAAAAGGGGTGACATTCTTGTTTCCTCAGAACCAAATGTAAAGATTAAAAATAGCTCTCTTTGGAAAAATGGGCACTAATAAAGCAGTTAATAGCTAACTAAACTTTTAGCTAACTAAACTTTTCAAAAACTTTCTCTATCGATCACATTGAAATCGCTTGTCGATGTCGATTGAAAGGGCAACAAAATTCTCCATTTCAGAGCCTCCTCATCGACAGCGAAGGATAGGGCAAAAAAAAGATCGCAAATAAATTTTTTGAATGAAAATTTTGCAATAAAAAAACAAAGCACAAGACACTTTGTTCAACTACCGCCCTTAAAAAATCCTTTTGAACTGAAATTTGACTGCAAGTAGCACTGAACTATTGGGTTGTCCAGTTATGAATGCGCGTTTTTACTATTTTGTAAATTTCTCAAGACATCGAACAGATGTATATGAGTGTTATAGATCATTCGAAAGCTGAAAATCTCCTCTACATTTTGGAATAAAAAAGTTTTTGAATTCATGCAACTTTTTGGGAAATTGACCGCACAAAGGGAGAGGTCGTTTTCGAAAAAACCAATTCCAGCTTAGCTATTCCTCAAGTTTTATGATGTAAAATAACCGCCCAGAAAAGAAAAGAAAAGTAAAGAGGCTCTGAAATTGTTATATTTAAAAAAAAGTTGTATTGATATATCTATTGGCCAAACATCAAACGGTTAACTCAATTTGAGCGAAGCCAAAACTTGATCCAAAGGCGCCCTTCCATTTTTTGGCCACCTCTTCTTCTGTGCAGTCAATTTGCCCAAAAGCTGAACAAATTCAAAAGCTTTTTCAATCAAAATGTAGAGGAGATCTTCAGCTTTCAAATAATATATATCTTTTTCTTGATTTCGGTATCTTGAGAAATTTAAAAAATAGTAAAAAACGCGCATTCATAACTGGACAACCCAATATGTACTCCATTTCTGGTTTTGATGATAAAATTTGTTTTTAATGAAAATTAATGAGATCTTGAAGCTATTTGATTGAAAAATTTACGCTTCATTGAAACAAAAACAGAAAAAAAAAACTATGTTTTAACTCTTCGACAATCGACTGAATTTCGATTCTGACTATGACGAAGGTTTTTTTTATCGCCTAAATGGGAAGCCATTTTTTTGTATTGGAGAAAAGACAGCAAATATTTCTGGGTTCTATCCGAAGAGAAGTCCGTGGACAGATATGTGTTCGGTTCACCGGAAGCTGAGACATTTCTGAACTTGATTCTCGTTCCCCATCCACTGCTACAACTCGAGCTCTTTAGCTTGTAAAGAACAAAGGAAAAGATGAATTGTAAAATCATTTTGGGTTGAAACTAAAGCATAATTTTTTTTTGAAAATATCTGTTTTATGACATATGTATGCATTGCTTTTGTACATGTTATTCAGCTCATTTATGAATATACACTACTGGACAATGAAATATCATATTTGAAAAACGATCGTCACTTTCGCGCGTCTGTAACTCCCTTGTCTTTTACCGTATTTCTAAATATTAATATTACTATTGTGTAGCCCTTGAAAAGAGCTTTCAGAAAATGTATAACACTAATAGTTTAAACTCAAAGAAAAGGGGAGTTACAGACGCGCGAAAGTGACGATCGTTTTTCAAATATGATATTTCATTGTCCAGTGCTGTACCTAATAGAATCAAACTGCTTGACCACTTTGACTATTTTGGTTATTTCTCTTCTCGAACTCGAAACAGAGTTAAATGAAAATAATTTTACTGTGTAACTCTCTTGTCTTTGCGTTTAAACTATTAGTGTTATACATTTTCTGAAAGCTCTTTTCAAATGGCTACACAATAGTAATATTAATATTCAGAAATACGATAAAAGACAAGGGGAGTTACAGACGCACGAAAGTGACGATCGTTTTTCAAATATGATATTTCATTGTCCAGTAGTGTATGTACCTATTCACGTAAACAAAAGCGACTATTCTGCATCGAATGGTACTAAAATTGAGGCTCTCAGAAAACTTCAAACCCACTAATACTAAACTAATAAAGTAAACAGCCAAGTAAGTAGTAATAAAGTAACCAGCTGAATGTAAAAAGAGGCATGACTAAATGATTTTTCTAATTTTTTTACGGGTTTTTGATGTTTTGTTTAAAAATTAACACCAAAAACTAGTGTTATACATTTTCTGAAAGTTCTTTTCAAGGGCTACACAATAGTAATATTAATATTCAGAAATACGATAAAAGACAAGGGGAGTTACAGACGCACGAAAGTGACGATCGTTTTTCAAATATGATATTTCATTGTCCAGTAGTGTATATACAGAACTTGTAATTTTTTCTTTAGATCCCACCATGAACAGCCGCCTTTTGCGCGGCGCTTCTGATTGTGCCCAAAGTGGCCTTCGGATAATTTAGATAATTTAATCTAAAAGGTCTTCTCCATCGGTATCTATGACATCTCGCCAACGTCCACGCAAAGAATGAATGCCCTTGTTGAAGAACTCGACCGGCTGTGACTCAAAGAAATTGGCCACCCAAATTTGGACTTCATCGCGGTTTTTGAATTTTTTTTCGGCCAAGGAATGCTGCATCGACCGGAACAAATGGTAATCAGATGGCGCAAGGTCTGGGCTATATGGCGGGTGAGGCAGAAGTTCCCAGCCCAATTCTTCAATTTTTTTGAGAGTTACTTTTGCGGTGTGTGGACGCGCGTTGTCATGGAGCAATTTTGTTGACGCTGTTTCCACTCCCTGTCGACGAAGCGATTGATCGACGCGGCTTGATTGTTCTTTGTAGAGGTCCGCATTAACCGTTTGACCAGAATTTAGCACTTCAAAATGCACCAATCCTTTGCTATTCCACCAAACACATAGCATCACCTTTTTGCCATGGATGTCTGGTTTTGGAGTCGGTTTTGGGGTTTGTCCAAGGTCCAACCATTGTCGTTTTCTAGTGGTATTATCAAAGGATATCCACTTTTCATCAGACGTGACAATCGACTCAAAAAAACCACTGTTCTTGGCTTGACGCAAAAGAATTCCGGCCATATTGATTCGCGTTGTTTTGTTCAAATCGATTAGTTCATGAGGCACCCATTTACCGCATTTATTCACCTTACCAATGGCATGCAAGTGGTCAGCAATGGTGGAATGATGACAACCGAACCTCTCAGCAAGTTCTCGTGTCGTTTGGGCAGGATCAGAATCGATGGCTGCTTTAAGTTCCTCATCGTCCACAGTTTTTGGTCGCCTCTCATGTTCTTTGTCTTCAAGGCTCTCGTCGCCGTCCCGAAAGCGCTGAAACCAATTGCGACATTGACGTTCGTTGATAACATCTTCTCCGAATGCATTGCTTATAGAGCGATGGGATTCTGCCGCTGTTTTTCTTTGTTTGAAGTCGTACAACAAACAAATCCGCATTTTATTTTTGATGTCGTTCATTTCCTAAGACAAATTTATATTAAAAATCTAAGCAAATATAGACGAATAATATATCAATCGACGCGGCATAAAACGCTCTTTAATATAGTTAAAAAGTACCACAAAAATTTATTTGAAAAAAAAAATACAAAGCAAAAAAGACAACGGCAATTCATAATCCGACAACCTAATAAAATCAAAAGGAAATCAGATATTGTTAAGTGAGTGAATCAATTCATTTAATAAATGTACTAAAACGCTCACTTTGAACCAGTAATGAAGGTTGTTTGACGGTCCCCATACGGGCTCTCCGGGGGCCCAGTTCGAATAGTTCCACGGGCTTCCATCAAACCATCGCCATGTGCCTCCATTGTCCTGAATTGAATATTTTCCCACTGGGAAAATAAATTGAGAATCTATGGCAGGTGAAGGGAAATAATTTTATACATCATTAACCATTGCATAGCTAGAATTCTCTGCTATCTTTCTGTTTTCTTGAAGACATGAAACGATCATGAGTCTTTCCCGAGGGAGCATATTTAAGTCAAAAGCATATTTAGCAAAAGCTGTTTGTATTTGTAGGAGAAATGGTCTAATGGTTCTTACGAAAAAAACTTATGAAAAGGGTCATTTAAAGGTTTTCAAATTATAGAGGATGTCAAAGTGTGTTTCTCTTAAGAAATTGCGCAAATTAGAAAATGATTTCGTTTTCTAAAACGTGGATCAGAAGTATTTTTGTTCAGTATTCACATTTTAGAAAACAGAAACGTTTTTTTATTGTATCTCTAATAGCTAATACCTTTGACTAGGGATAAACCAAAGTAAAGGCTTTAGTAAAGTTTTGATAAGGTATTGGCAAGCAGGTTCACTTATTTATATACTTGCTAAGGCTTACTTTTGGTGCTGGTGTTGGGGAGCCAGAACTTGAGCCGGAAGAAGCGGCGCACGTCTGTGTACCAGGGCACGGCTTTAAACCACATGAGTTCCCGGTTGTGCCCTGGTAATTGATTTCATTTTTGAGCACTTTCTTCTAACAATTACCACAAGAAGTTCGCACATTGCGGCACAGAATTTCCCATCGGCCAAATCGTTCCATTTGCCTTTCGGGAATTGAGGGCTCTCATTTGTGATGAACAACTGAAAAGATGCTTGCTAAATGTGTACTTTGGGTTATTATAGCTACTTTTGTGTTTTTTTAAGACTTGAAATCAAATTTAACTAACCGTCGAAACGGGCTCATTGCCACCGGCATTATTTGGTTCACCGGCATTCCAATTGCTAAACAATGAAATGATTATTCACTTAAAAGTGAAATAGAGCCACACCTATAAGTTGTATTGGTACAATCAATCCAATCGCCGTTCGATTTCCCGATGATCAATTGCTGAAAGTTGTTGCTTATTCAAATTGCCAGTTAAAGTATTTTTTTTAAACTTACGTCTAAGTACTTATTAGTCGGATCGTGTGTAGCACATCGATCTTTGAATGACCCTTGAGACAACTCTGAAATATTGGGTTGATGCTAAAGTTTGCATAAGGCTTCGACGCGCATTTTTGTAACCTTGAAAACCCTTGCTACAGCATGAACCTTGCTTGTTACAGCTCGGCGTATCAGAGTTTGTTAACAAGATCCACAATTTGGATAAACAATAAAATTGTTGGAGGAGCAAAAACATTACTTCGGCATTACTTTACAACTGGCGATGGTTTGATGGAAGCCCAGTGGAACTATTCGAACTGAGCCCCGGGAGAGCCCGTCTGGGGACCGTCAAACACAACATTACTTACAATTTGAGGGACGGGACTACATATTTCGTGAATTTTCATTACCACTTACTCCAAATTCCCTCATTCTCGGCATCACAACGAATTGAGGCCAAGTCGGCGTCAGGGTGCAACTTTTTGCATTGGGTCTTTGCTTCGGCTTGATTTCCGTTCACATAGATTGGCTAAACTCATTCGTTTGGCAATCGAATACAGCTAGCTATCCGATTGGGTATCCATTTTGCTAGAAGAAAGACAGAAAGAAACTCGCACCGCATAGCACGATCCTCCAACGTCAGTGAATCCCCAAATGCCGCTGCACGTTGGAGCGACGATTGTTTTCTAAGAAACGTTATTGAACGTTATTGAAATTTGAAAAGTTCATATGAATGTTCTTCTGAAGTATTGAACTCCTACCGAATGAGCGAAGCAACTAGAAGCGCCGATGTTATCACACTAAAACTTGCCGTACGAAAAGGGACTCTTCTAAAAAAATACCAGGATCTCACACAGTGCTCCGCAAATGACGCTTTCTTGGCTGTGAAGATCGTACCACGATCCATCGGGATCTGGCCCGCCCGAAACGATGGTCATCTATGTACATTTAAAAAGTTGTGCTTTAGACATGGGCCGATATCGATTCTTTGAGTCGAGTCAAGTCACAAATCGAGTCAAATGCAAATTGACTAACATGAAGCCACATTTTAACAATAGTAAAAGTAATTTTAAATATGTGTCGTAGCCGATTATGAATGAAATTTTTTGGTAAATCTTTCTAGTAGAGCAACCCTTTAATGTAGGAGGACAATATTATATCATCTTGTAGCGAATTCAATTCTGCGTCGATTGGTACCAAATTTGTGAGTTTTGGTTAAAAATTACCGGCGCTACAACGTTTCATTCAAAATCGGCGGGACCCCCGTAGCCGATTATGCATTTCAGCCGATTATGATTGAGTGGGTCTAGGAGCGTCCAGCCATCAAGTATTTGGTATCATTCAACGCAGAATCATTAATAATTATGTTAAATTTTTAAAATTAGAAAGATTTGATAAAAAGAAAAAAAAATTAGAGCAAAAAAACTGTTTGTTCAAGAGGAAACTTTGAGGCCCCATAATTTTTTTTCTTTTTATCCAATCTTTCTAATTTTAAAAATTTAACATAATTATTAACGATTCTGCGTTGAATGATACCAAAAACTTGATGGTTGGACGCTCCTAGACCCACTCATTCATAATCGGCTACGACATATAGCAAGACACTTGCAATACACATGGGCCGATTTCGATTCTTTGAGTCGAGTCGAGTCGAGTTACGACTCGAGTCACGAGTCTCGAATCAAGTCGAGTCATGACTCGACTTTTTGACTTGACTCGACTCGTGGCCCATGTCTATTGTGTTGTGTTGGTATAGTTGATACGTGAGGGCTGTGAACAGTAAGGCCAAAAAAAAACGGAATATTTTGGGTAATTTTAAGAGCAACAACAAGAAACATGTGGAAATATCCTCAAATAATAAAGGCTTGAGCCGAAGTAATGCTGAAAGGGCGGTTAATTTTACTTATAGTCTACATAAATTGTGAATCTTACATAATTCAATTCAGCCATTTAAAATGCTTATTTTGGGCAAAATTTGCTAATAGCCATATAGAAGGAAATTGAAAATTTTCCCCGTAAATGTAACTTTTTACCCAAACCAACCGCGGTTCCCTTTTCCTCGCCCGAATCGTCCTTGGGTTGTCCCGGAGCCCAATTTCTAAAGTGAAGCCTAGTTTCCATGGGCATTTATTCAGTTGGTACCTGTAATCCGATTTGACGTCGTTTTCCCAAGTGTTTGCAAGTTTTGCGTCTTTTAAATCATCCCAGAATCCGATCCACATTTGCTGAAACGGTTTCTTTACAGTTCTTTTCGGTCAAATGCTCACGTTCTTCCACACTTCACCCGAGAATGACGAGCATTGAGCACGCAGTTTGTTGACGGCTAGATCTAAATAAAGTATTTACTTGATGTCCGCAAAATTTGAACTTTTAATTTCTACATTCTCTATACAGTTAACAGCTCGAAAGCAGTTTCATCGGCACAAAAAATCATGTTTTTTAGTAATTAAATGGGGCAAAGGTACAGTACTGGACAATGAAATATCATATTTGAAAAAAGATCGTCACTTTTGCGCGTCTGTAACTCCCTTTTCTTTGCGTTTAAACTATTAGTGTTATACATTTTCTGAAAGCTCTTTTCAAATGGCTACACAATAGTAATATTAATATTTAGAAATACGGTAAAGACAAGGGAGTTACAGACGTGCGAAAGTGACGATCGTTTTTCAAATATGATATTTCATTGTCCAGTACTGTATATACAGAACTTGTAATTTTTTCTTTAGATCCCACCATGAACAGCCGCATTTTGCGCGGCGCTTCTGATTGTGCCCAAAGTGGCCTTCGGATGCAACTTTTGGCACTCTTTTATTGCGTCTCCTCGATTCGCTTTTGCGACAATTGGCTAAAATGGATAAATCGATTTTTCCAGTATTCTTTTAAAGTCGGCACAAATTAAAGAGACAATCATCAAATAAAAAACACAAACCGCGTAACATGATCCCTGAATTTCCGTGAAACCCGGAAGGTCCGAACATTTCTGAACAGATGATTGTACTAAACGAATCTCCAACCAAACTTACAAGACATTCGTTATCGGTTGAAACACACGAGAAAAATCCTAAATCAGAATAAACTAATTCAATTTAAATTTTCGTATAAAAGAAGTCGCTTTTTGGCTAAGAAAAATGGCACACAAAAAGGTGCTTTTTTGAAAAGGAGCGGAGACGGCAAAAAGAAACAACTTAGATACTGACTAAACTATTGTACGTACACTAATCCGCTATTTGATTGAATATGGAAATAAATTAAATGGAAAAGCTCAGTTATTTTGTCTATTGCTTCTCTTGTGAAGCTTCTATGAAAGCTCAAAAAAAAAACTACCGAAAACGCAAATCAGCCGCCAGGGGATTCCCATTTTCGCGAGAGTTTAGCCTATCCCGGTGTTCCTTCTCTTTAAATTACCCCAAACGAGTGATGTTTGGGAAATTTGTTTTCAATTTTCTCGATTTCGAACGGATTTCAGCGATAAGATTGACAAGGTCAAGCGGGCTTTTTTTTCGTAAAATTGAGATATTTATCTGCTTATCAGCACAAAACAGGAACAAGATTCTCGCTCAAAAATTGACTGCTCAATTGATTGGCTTAATAGAGGCGGAAACGCGGAAACGTGGTCGTTGATTTTTCTTCAGCAACAACGCCAATGATATCATCTTTAAAGGTGAATCTGGAATGAGAATCACTGAAAACTATTTCGCTGACTGGACAGGTATTCAGGAATCTTCTAGTTACCCTACGAAAACTTTTAAACCAAGATTTCGCAATTTCATCAGAAAATAATATCTTCAAACGTTGTTGGGCATAACCATAAAATTAATACCGTATTCTCTCTAATAGTAGTGCGCACTACTATTTTTTGAACCCCCTCCTGGACCGCAATACTATTAGAGAGTGCCCTACTATTAAAAAGTGCACTACTATTAGAGAGAATACGGTAATCAACGAATCAACGTATAAGGAAAATGAGGAATAAGGAAAATTTACATTTTGAAGCCTTTGTTTCCACAAATCCCCAGCCCATTTCGAGTGTTGTTGATCGATTTTGGTGAGACGATCGAAAGTCCACACGAAATCCCGTTTTATTACATCCGAAACAAACCACGGGTATTCCTAAGAATCTATCAATGCTAATTTTGTAGTAAACTAGCGTCTCTAGATACGTCTAATGTCTCTACAGTTGGGTAAAAGACAAAAGAAAATATTTTTCCGATCTACCGTATTCTCTCTAATAGTAGTGCGCACTACTATTTTTTTAAACTAACCCCCTCCTGGACCGCAATACTATTAGAGAGTGCACTACTATTAAAGAGTTTTATCATTTATCAAAGTAAGACAGATATAAACTTTATTCCAAAAATTCTTGCAATTCTTTCACGTACTCCTTTGACTCCTTTTGACGTACAGTTGTGGGCCGGCGAGTTGACAATTTTTGTGCCTTGACAAACAACAAAAAGATTTTTTTGCACTTTGCACAACAATTTGAGATTTTTTGCTAACTTTTTCATGTGACGAATAGTTAATAAATGAATAAAAAAAAGCCTCACTTTTGCTTGCTTGAATAGCTTTAGAATGTCACATAAACATAAAGTCAAAAAGGTTCAGATGAAAAAGAAGCAAACAAAAATTCAAATTTTCGAGGGTGCACTACTATTTTTTTCAACCCCCTCTCGGACCGCAATACTATTAGAAAGTGCACTACTATTAAAGAGTGCACTACTATTAGAGAGAATACGGTAACCGAAAATCAAAAAAGCTTTGGCCTAACTTGCTAACATCGAATAGATCAGTTTTTTAAAAAATCAAACTAATCAATCAAAAAAAGTGAACAAAATTCTGTTATTTGGTTTAAAGATCGTCTTTTAGACTGCACGATGAAACTGGCTAAAGGTGATAGAGAGGGATTTGAAGGAGAATGCCTTCTAAGAACAGTTTTTGCAAACAGATCTGGTGAATAATTGGTCAAATCTATCAAAAAAGAGAGTCCCTAACATTAGACACCCAGATGGATTGAGAGTTGAGCGTTTTTTTGGCCGATTCAATAGTTTATTGTGTCGTTATGGGGCAATTTTGCAACGAGAAGAGCAACGCATCGGTGATCTACTCCTTCAGAAAATGACTTTCTATAGTTTACAGAAACCAGAATTTTGAAACTCGACTCTGACAGAACGAGATAAAGTCCAATTTAAGAAAAATTCTTGATAGCTCACTTTGGCTCACTATCCGGAAAAAAAGGGTAAAATCTCCGTAATGGCAATTAAAAAGTTACCCTAAAGTCTCGAGTATAAGTTCTGCCTTAATTTACATTCGCTTTAATTGCTTTGAATTTCTTTTTGTTGGGTTTTTATACATTTTTATTGTTATATAAGCTTTTATTATTGTTCTTGGAGCGCGGGATACTACAGGGTGACAGCCTATCACCATTGCTATTTGTTATGTGCATGGATACATCCAGACGATAGTGTTGAAGAAGACGCTGGAAAGCATCTCTTTCGACTGTCGACATGAACTTTGGCCGGATGAAGAGGCCAGGGAGGGATCTATAAGACTGAGTACTGGAGAGGAGCAGGGCGGACGCGCCGAGCCACGCCCGGAGCAACAAATAACAGCATAACCCTCAATAAATTTACTTCTATTATTGTTCTTAAAAAGCAAAAAAGTTATGCTGCAGCGGGGTTCGAACCCTCGACACACCGCACCGGAGACAGCCGTCAATTTGCATGCGAAAACCAAACAGAACTTATACTCGCGACTTTAGGGTAATCATTTGCCATAACATTGATTTTGTTTGTTTGATCACTAAGAATTGATTGGTCCTTACTTTTTGTAGCATTGTTAACTGGAATTGAGGTTAGTTTTTGACCTTGTACCGTGTACCGTTAGGATCTTGTATCGTTATTACACTTATTACACTGAAAGAAAAGATTTCAAACTTTCTAATAGTATACCAGTTTCTTGTCAATTGACAGGTTGATTTTATATTTTACTTTATTCAGAATAAAACGGTTAAAACACAAGGGGTACATATCAAACATATAAAAAGGCGCGACAACAATGTCGCGAGAAAAGAATTAAAAACACGATTCCTTTTGTAAGGAAAATTGACAAGATCAAGTCGCAATCAAACAGCAATCAAATTGCAAATTGAGTTTGAATGTGATCGAGATTGTGAGGAAATTTTGGCGAAAAATCGACGAAAATGTAACGAATCAACTTTGCTTTTGAGTGGTTCACCTATATGAAATGTATCTGAAATTCGAATCGCTAGCCACTAGCCACTAAGTTAAGAAATGCAAACATTATTCTTGTTTTACAAAGTTTTATAGTGTTCATTTACAAAACAAAACTAAGCTAAACAAAAATTTTTAAGGTTCTAAGCTTTCAATCAAATCCTCACTCTTTATGTAAACAAGCTTCAAGCGTAGTGCTTGAACAACTATTGAAAAATTCCTTTAAGTAAATTTAAGCAATCAAATTTCTAACAACAAATGATGAAATTGTTTAACAGTACAGTTTGCTTAACAGTACAGTTTGCTTAACAGTACAGTTTGCTTAACAGTACAGTTTGCTTAACAGTACAGTTTGTTTAACAGTACAGTACTCAATCAAATGTTTATTCTTATTCATCCTACAGTCTGACATCCCTGTGATGTTGGATGATGAAAGCAGAAGCACTCATGTCCCTTTGGCGCCCACCCACAGCAATCACCGAGTGGACAGCGTTTTACACGAATTCCCTTAAAAATATTTTATTATACAGGGTGGCTGACAATTACGTGCGCGCAGCATCAGCATCATAGTTTTAAACAATGTATAAAGCATTACTACTCATCTTTTTGTGTTTTAATATTCTTTTTATCGTGGTCTAATACTTTTTTTGTTAAAAAAGTTGTTTTCTAGGTCATGACAAAGACGTGCGCTAGTCGGGACGCAATCGCACAGCTGGCGACGAGCGGCATGAAGAACTCGTCGATCGCATCGAGGCTTGGGGTGGCTCTGAGGACCGTCCAGAAGATCGTAAAGCAATGGAAAGATGAGGGGCATGTTCAGTCCAAGCCCGGAAGAGGACCAAAGAGGACCGTTAACACCCGAAAGATGCGTGGGATCATCAAGAGGAGGATCGAGCGAAAAGACGATCGTAGTTTGAACAAGATGGCAAAACAGCTTCAAATTTCGCGTTTCTCGGTTCAATCGATAGTGAAAAATGAGCTCGGACTTCGAAGTTATCGACTGTTAAACGGGCAAGTGCTCACCGATCAAGCCAAGCAAAACCGGAAGGAGAAATGCAAGAAATTGCGAGCTTTTTTCAAGGTGCGGCGCATTGACGATGTTCTTTGGTCAGATGAGAAGATTTTCACCTTGGAAGTGGCTAAAAACTCACAAAATCACCGTCAACTTCTCAGTCCAGCTCTCAAGAGCACTCGTAAACGAAAAGTCGCTACAAAAGGTCTGTTTCCAAAAAGTTTGATGGTTTGGGGTGGCATCAGTGCTTCGGGCAAGACCCCGTTGGTTTTTATCGATAAAAATGTGAAGATTAACGCAAAAGTCTATCAAAAAGAGATTCTCGAGAAAGCTGTGGTGCCATGGAAGAGGAGCCATCCCAATTTGACCCTTCAACAAGATTGGGCGCCGGCCCACGGAGCCAAAACAACAATTCGCTTTCTCGAAACCAAAATTGGCTCTTTTTTGACGAAGGATCAATGGCCTGCAAACAGCCCGGATCTCAATCCGTTGGACTTTTCGGTTTGGGTTTTATGGAAGAACAATTGAGAAATAGAAAAATCACCAATTTGAATGATTTACGTCGAGAATTGATCAAAATCTGGAACGACTTAGATGCAAATTATCTCCGCCGCACCGTCGATTCTGTAAAGAAGCGAATTGAAGCCTGTATCAAAGCGGATGGAGGCCACTTCGAAAATTTCTTGTGATTATTAAATGCTTTTGTTACAACTATTATATAAATAAAGATTTTTACATTTTCTTTGAAAGAAAATTAAATTATGGCGTTTTCTTTGGCGCACGTAATTATCAGCCACCCTGTATATCTAGATTTGGCTTAGTTACATTATCTGGTTTTACATTTACCTTTAAACCTACTATCAAACTGATTATTCTTAGGGTTATATTGTTTTCGCACTTGACATCCAAGCGTTCGTTTTGTTTTTTTTTAAAAACAAATTCCTTTTTTTAGATCTTTATAATAAAAACAAAACAAGAATGATTTTTGGATAAATATTGAAAAAACAGAATTATTTGTAAAATGAAACTCACTCTTGTTTCGACTAAACAACTCTCTCCAATCAACATTAAAAGCAACACTAAATTGAGTAGAAAACGCATTTTCCTGTTTTGTTTAGTTTATGAAAATCTTTTTTACGTTTAAAAGAAACTTTTTAAAGACTAATTTGTATTCTCAACGTTTAATAGAAAAAAGAAATTGAAACAGTACAACTAAAAAATGAGTCAACAAGGAATGATTCTAGATTCTGGATTCTAGATTCTAGTCAACAAGGAATGATTCTAGATTCTAGATTCTAGTCAACAAGGAATGATTCTAGATTCTAGATTCTAGTCAACAAGGAATGATTCTAGATTCTAGATTCTAGTCAACAAGGAATGATTCTAGAAACAACAAAAAAAAGTAGCCGTTTCATAAGAGCTTCTATAAAGAATTTTTACAGTTTTTTCAAATCCAATCACTTATTTCTTGATCGAGTTGTCGAAATTCTCTTGATCTTGAAAGTCTTGACAGACATTTGTCGCCAAATTTGGTGTCTAAGAGGGACCTTCACGGGAAGAAGCAATTACTGTATGTTTATTGGGGATCGATGAGCATTATTTTCTGAAAGATCATCTTCGTCATCTCTGTTTTTTATTCAGTTGTTCACAACTTCTCATATCCTTGGAAATTTTGCCTAATTTATTCAACAACACAGAAAAGCCTTGCAAAAAGCCATTGCTTTTTCTTTTCTAAAAAAAGGAGCTTTTTAAAAGCTCTGCATTGATTTTTGAGTTCATTTCCTACTTAAATGCCATGATGTCAAGAAATTATCGGGTCATTAAATGTTTTTGTATTTATTTAAAAGATTTAGAATGACATTTTCTTGAGATTTCTCTTGGTATTCGTTTTTCTCTTCACAATATTTTATCTGAAACTTTGGAGTGCAAATGAACGAGAAGCTTTCCTATCAAAAACAACAATAACAGGTATACACTACTGGACAATGAAATATCATATTTGAAAAACGATCGTCACTTTCGCGCGTCTGTAACTCCCTTGTCTTTTACCGTATTTCTAAATATTAATATTACCATTGTGTAGCCCTTGAAAAGAACTTTCAGAAAATGTATAACACTAATAATTTAAACTCAAAGACAAGAGGAGTTACAGACGCGCGAAAGTGACGATCGTTTTTCAAATATGATATTTCATTGCCCAGTACTGTATCTATACTTCTCAAAGTTAAAGTTTAATGTTCTAACTCAACTGCAAACTTATTGCTCAAAAAAAAGCAGTAATATATAGAAATTTTGGTTATAAGTTGTTTATAAATTGCCCATTTAATCAAAATATAATTAAATTTAAAATAAGATTCTAAAAAGAAATACTTATATTTAACTCACTACTTATAACTTATAAAGTCGAATTTCGATATAACGAATTGCTTGAAACCGAAAACTTCGACATAACAAACCTAAAACGTGCCTCAAATTTTCTGCGTAGCTGCCCTGAGTTGCACTGGTGTAGCCACTGATTACATTTGGCTGAGGCAGCAGAAATTTTGAGCACATTTTCGAATTTCAAATTTGTATCGAAGTTGTATCGAAGTTCGACTGAATTTCTGAGAATGCTTCTGAGAAAGCACTCAGAAAACTCCTTTCAGAATCAGAATCACTTCAGAATCCTTCAGAATCACCGCTCTCTAGTGAAGATCTCATCAAAGGTTGCCCTAGTTTCAATTTCGATTTCAACTCTTCACAAATCTTGAAACAATTGGGGAAACCTGTCGATCAGCGTTGTTTTTCTTCTCCGTAAAAGTAAACGTAAACTTTTCCTTTAGCTAAATGTCGCCGAACTCCCGGGTTAACTTTATTCGAAAAGGGTCAAATTCGATTAAATCTCGAGTATCCCAGCTATCATTTGCATCACTGCAATGCAAGGTTTTAAACTTCTTTTCATTAAGACTTCATTTCCTTTTTTTCATTCATTAAACTTCATTTCCCCAGTTGTGCTTACCGAGAGAACAACTACAAAAACAAACTTGGCACTTCATGCACCGTTGGCAAAGATTGTGGTCATTTCAAATGTGATTTCATTTTGGTGAACTGTTGGAGAAATGAGACACTTGTACATATCGATGCTCATATGCAAATTTGGGAACATCGGTGAGCTTTAGTTTAGTGAGTTTCAGAAATTCGTTTCGCTTTCGTTTTAGACGAAATCGCTCAGAAGAATTTGGTGATTTGTATAAAGAAACCGCTTCAATGAAGCATAAAGATCAAAAGGATTTATTTCTGCCAAATGTTTACATCATTATTCTCGACACAGCTGGACGATTTCCGGCGCTCAGGTAACGAAAAACGTAAAAGGAAACTTTATTTCAATTGTTGTATATCCGTTAAAGTGATTATTTATGCAAAAAGTGATTATTTATGAGATTTATGTTTTGGATTTTATATTTTCTTAATGAAAAACCCCTTCATTGACTTCTAGACAACTCAAAAAGACATACAAATGGATGATGGACGAAATGAAAGGCATCGATTTCACTCAATACACTCAAATCGGCGGAGCAAGTCGACAAAATGCCTATTCTGCATTTTTTGGTTTTCAGTGCATGTAAAGCTGATTATAATAGTTTTAGGATTGATTGGTTTAAAAGTTGATCGGAGTTTATACGGTGGATCAAATATTGAGATCGATTATAAATGCAATGAGGCCAATGATAACAAAGATTACATTCAGTTTGAGTATGAGGTCAGTGGATGGGAAGCTTTGCTTATTGTACTTTTAAAGCAAAATAAAAATTTAATAACTTTGTACGTTTGTTTACGGTTTTTTTAATCTTATTTATCAGCTTATCTAAGAAAATCTTTTAGATTTCAATTTCAATTGCAAAAGTCACTTTTTAAGTTCACTTGAATCACTTTAACTGAAGTGAATTTAAATAAAAGGATACTTTTCGGTAATACCCCCGCCACCCAAACAAATGTTTCTTTGTTGAGGTGGCTGTAGGCTGTATAGGAGTATCAAGACGCTCGTTGATAAGATTTATTGCACCCGAATCGATGATTTACAGTCAATCGTGGAAAGCCTACAACACAGCCATTTTTGAGGATGGTTATTCGCATGAGAAAGTCAACCACAAATTCAACTTTTTAAATCCGGATGATCCAAAAAGGTGTCGAGCGTATATGGGGTGCGACCAAGTGGAGAACCAAGAGAGAAGGTGGAACGAGCCGTGCTTTACTCTCAAGTCACCTATCGGAGTTTATGGTCCGGCAGGAAATCGGCAACGAGAATATTTACGAGTGAACACTCCTTCAAATCGTTCTTCAAAGATCCATCCAAGACAACGATTTAATACTTTTTCTTTTCTTTTTGATGTCTTATGATCTATGGTGTATATGTTTTTTTTTGGAAATTTTGGAGTGGCGGAGGTTTAACCGAAAAGTACCAATAAAAGTTAAAGAAAATAGTTTTTTTTAACTATTTTTACTTCTTTTTACTTCTAGATAACTTAAAAGTCAAATATTTTATCTCAAATTTTATTTCAAAAAACCCTTTCAGGATGCTGGTTATCAAACCATTTTTGCTGTCGATTATTTCACCGATCTCTGGGCTTATCTCGATTGTATCGGTTTCAAAAATCGTTTAGCTACTCATCAACATCGGTTTACTAATCTATTTCTAATTAGCAACAACTTTTAGCAACTTTTAGACCTTTCACATTATTATCCCTTCTACAATCGGAAATCTGGGATTCAACGTTTGTTGTTGCTTCTTTTAACTTTAAATAAACGATTCAAATAAACGATTTCAGTCCATTCGATAAGCACAATCACTCATTCACCGATGCTCATCTATTGAAAAAAACATCTACGAGATTCATCCAAATGTGGAGAACTTTATCAACATGCTTTAAGATTCTTTGAGTTATTTTTGAACTCGTACAAAGGTATTCAAAATATTTGCATTTTCAAGTCGTTTATAGTTGTAAATTTTATCATTTTCAGGGACACCAAAAATGGGTATTCTGTGGACAAATGAGGCTCATGCAGATGAGAAAATTTGGCACAACTCTGATGAATATTATGTGAAATTGTTGAGGGAAAACAAAGAACAGGTTTATCATTGAAACATTGAAGGAAATGGGTAAAAAAAATGGAGACAAAAAGTAATCGACTACATCATTTCAATTCAGAGTTTGTGCTTTATAATTTATATCGAAACGGAAAATAGATTGGAATATGAAAATTGAATGAATCGGGATTGGAAAGCTGACCACTTGCTAAAGTGTTCAGCTTTCCAATCCCTGAACACTTGCTGAACACTTGCTAAAGTGGAAAGCTGAACATTTTAGCAACTTTAGCATTTGAAAGTGTTCAGCAAGTGTTCAGCTTTCAATCAAGTGTTCAGCAAGTGTTCAGCTTTCCAATCCCTGGACACTTGCTGAACACTTGCTGAACACTTGCTAAAGTGTTCAGCTTTCCAATCCCGATTCATTCAAATTTATTTCAATCTATTTCAAGACTAGGTTGATGCAAAAGAAATTTCGGAAATTTTTTTTTACAAACATTAACTTTAATTCTTTTAGGCAAGAATTTGTTCTAAACGATAAGCATCATTAGCTACTCATCAACATCGGTTTACTAATCTATTTCAGTTCTAATTAACAATAATCCTTTTAGACCTTCCACATTATTATCCCTTCTACAATCGGAAATCTGGGATTCAACGTTTGTTGTTCAACATCAGCATCAGCATCTAGAACGGCCCTCCAACATTGTCTCAGATTGCGGATCCCTTTATCGAAGAACTCTTGATTCTCTGATTGAAAGTAGTCGGCATCCAAATCTCTATGTGCCCATGTGGTTCGTCTTCAAGAGATTCAATACCTTCTCGGAAGCGAGGAAACCAGAGTTGGCAGATGAATCTCGTAGATGTTTTTTCAATAAATGAGCATCGGTGAATGTGTGTTTGTGTTTATCGAATGGACTGAAATCGTTTATTTGAATCGTTTATTTGAAGTTAAAAGAAGCAACAACAAATGTTGAGTCCCAGATTTCCGATTGTAGAAGGGATAATAATGTGAAAGGTCTAAAAGGGTTAGTCTAATCTTTTGCATCAATCTAATAAGCAACAGTTTTTCTAATGTTAATTTTAAAAAGCTTTACCCAAATCGATTATTGTTAATGTAATCAGATTAAATGCTCTAATCATGGCATTTTTGTTAGCTTGACGATTCTTTTGTAATCATCATGGGCGATCATGGAAGAGATTTCCAAATGGATGACCCATTCTTTCGATTAATGGGTGAACACGGGAAACGCTTTGATATGGTAAAACTTTACTTACTTTACTCGGTAATGAGTTTTAGGTTGTAAACTATGTGTTGATATTTTTTGTAAAGAAAACATCAACACATAGTTTTCTGTAAAGAAATAGTTAATGCAGTAGCTTCGTCAATATTTTTTTCATACAAAAAGAGTTGTTTATTGTCTAATTTAAGCTTTTTCTAAGTAAATTTGAGCAGAAATTTGTGTGTTTTTCGAGAAATTCTTCAATTTGACAAATAAAAGGAAAAATTGAATAGATTAAGGAAAAATTGAATAGATTAAGCTAAAAATTTGGCTACTTTTCTAACTTTTTATGCTCTATCTTTTTTTTATTGACACTAAAATAGATTTGTTTGGCTCATGATCATTGGAAAAAGTATTCAAATCTTTTTAACGAGTTCAATTTTTGATCTCTCAACTTCTTGTTTCCTCAAAAATCTCTTAAACGGAAGTTTTTACAAATCTCTGAGATTTGTAAAAAGAGAATTAATAAATCTTTTAGGATAACAAATAATTTATATCGTAATATTTTTGGATTAACTTAACATTCATTGAAAATGATTCGAAGAGCAATGCGATGCTTACCGTAAATACTGTAATAGTACCCCACTCCCATAATGACGGTGCGGAGTGTTGTGTCGTCTAGCTTTGGACGCGTTTTTCTCGACACTGGTTTATGCTACAATGCGCGCTTAGGTATCAAAAAATAGCTGAAATTCAGGGCTATTTTTTGATACCAAACACGCATTCTTTGAAAATATGGGAGCTTTGGAAAAAATGAAATTCTAAAAAACTTTCGCGACTACGCGACTGTACGAGGGGGGTGGGGTACTATTACAGTATTTACGGTAATTATTCAGACAAAAGATCTTATGATTCTTCAACGTCAAGCCTACATCTTTAAATAATGATTATAGTTTTGGAGCACAAGTTTAAATCATATTAAATCATATTAAATCAATTCCAATTCAGCCAACCGGTTCTCGTCAAGGTCCCTTTGAAAACACGAACATTCTCATGCTTTTTTCGATTCCAAAGAGGCTACGGTAGATTTTAAAAGTTGATTTTAACCCATCTGAAATCATAGAAACACTCAAATTGATGATATGATCCGTAAAAACAGCGTCCATCTATTCACCCATCACGATTTGCATGCAACTCTCATTGATATTATACGAGTAACTTAGTATACGAGCTTACTTTTTACAAAAAAGCATTCATTTAGCATCAACCACTCGCTCAGTTCAACGATCAAAGCTTTTTGAAGATTAATGGTAAATTGAGGCTAATGTTTGTAAAAAAAACCTATTCAGGTACTCTTGGAAACTCGTGGTTGAGAGAATTGGATCGAGATTTGCCAAGAGATTGTCGACATTTACCCATTCCATCTCAGTTTTGCCCATGTAATTACGGGAAAGAAGTCGTTATTGAAAAGTGGGTGTATTTGTTAAGATTTAAAGCAAGTACAGCTTTTCTAGTTCAAATATTAACTGTATCTTATTGAAAAATAGGTGTACTTGTTAAGATTTAAAGCAAATACAGCTTTTCTAGTTAAAAATAGTAACATTAACTTATATAAGTTAATGTAATTAATAATACTTGTAACAGAGTGTGTAAGTAGAGTAAAAGAGGTGAAAGTTAAACGCATTAACGCATTTTTATAAAAACATTATCAAATGAATTCAGAAAAGATACGATTTGGTTGATTCTTCCGAAGCTGATCGAAACGTCTTTCAATCGATACCTTAACGATAACAAATTATTGAAATATTGTGAAAGGATTTCAGTGAAAAATTTGGGTATTATTCGAATATTATGAGGATTTTCGTTAAAAATTGAAAGAAATCACAATTTTTACATTTATTCGTTCCTAGGTATAAACGGATGTGGACTAGAATTTGGGTTAAGTTAAAGAGAGTGGATCCCTTTTGATATCCCGCCATCTCTAACACCCCGACAACCCAACTCAACTCCTCCAACGTATTAGAGGGGAGTCCCTGTGAAATGACCGACCTGTACTGCAGTTGCATAGACCCGGAAGATATGTATCTTTATTTACAATAGTATAATAAGACGAATAGATTACAAGGGGAGGGGGGACTCCAAATGAGAGTCTCACTTGTCCTCCTAGTCTCACTTGTCTCACTTGTCCTTGCAATCCCAAGGACCGCCCCTTCTCGGCAATAAAAGGGATAAGCACAGGGGAGGACACATTTGCATGAGAATAGACAAATCATTCAATAATAATAATAGTAACTAAAATATCAGTTTGACTCGGAGCTGACACATTTCAGATCACTGAAATTCGTTTAATCCAAAATGGAGTTGGATCCACCTTTTTTCAAGCCGATTTCTTCACAAAACGAGACGCTCATTTTTGGGTTTATTTTTTTATTTTTTAGATTTTAGAAAACCTTTCATATTCAGGCGAATTTCAAAGAAGAAGCCGGTGAATTAAAGCTGAATCCGAGAGTGTTCACTCGGATAAATAAGTGAGTCGAGTTTATATGTCGTAGCCGATTATGAATGAAATTTTTTGGTAAATCTTTCTAGTAGAGCAACCCTTTAATGTATGAGAACAATATTATATCATCCTGTAGCGAATTCAATTCTGCGTCGATTGGTACCAAATTTGTGAGTTTAGGTTAAAAATTACCGGCGCTACAACGTTTCATTCAAAATCGGCTGTATCCCCGTAGCCGATTATGAATTTCAGCCGGTTATGAATGAGTGGGTCTAAGAGCCTCCAACCATCAATTATTTGGTATCATTCAACGCAGAATCATTAATAAATATGTTAAATTTTTAAAATTAGAAAGATTTGATCGAAAGAAAAAAAAATTAGAGCAAAAAAACTGTTTGTTCAAGAGGAAACTTTGAGGCCCCATAATTTTTTTGCTTTTTATCCAATCTTTCTAATTTTAAAAATTTAACATAATTATTAATGATTCTGCGTTGAATGATACCAAATACTTGATGGTTGGACGCGTCCGGACCCGCTCATTCATAATCGGCTGAAATTCATAATCGGCTACGACATATATAAACGACAAATCTTTCGTTATCAATCTGTGGTCTTGATTTGATTTTAATCATCTGTAGATAAAACTTTAGATTATAATACGATTTTTTCAAAAGCCGATTTTACAGATACGGTTCAACAGCCGATTGTCTCTTTTCTGTTCCCGATCTTGTTCTTCATCGACCCGAGTGTTATTGTCATAAACAAAAGAGCTAAAAAAAGGTTAAAACATAAAGTTTTTCGGTTCTCTTTCATTAAAAAAAAACTACATTCCATTTGTGGGAGCCAATCTTTACAAGCTTTATCTGATAATCCTTGATAGATCATTGAATCATTGAATCTCTCATCTACTATCAGGTTCTTCGGATCTAAACGAGCGTTTTAATAGTCGACAAAATTTACCTTGAAAACAGAAACAACACAGTTTAATCCAAAGTATATTCACCATTATTATTGATTACTTCTTACCATCTTTGATCGATGCCGCTCTTGAAAGAATTGATGATGAGAATTGGTGATCTTGAAAAACTCAGCCGACTTTGACTCGAAAAACTTGGCGACCCAATTTTGGACATCTTCACGGTTTTTGAATTTCTCATTGGCCAAAAAGTTTTGAATCGACCGGAATCAAAGGTATTTTGATGGAGCCAAATCGCGAGCATACGGCGGATGTGGTAAAAGCTTATAATAGCTATAGCTATGGCTTATCGCTTACAGATGATGAACTGAATCATGAACTCAACTCATTCAAAACATTTCGAAATCATCACCAGCCAAACCCAAACAAATAGGGCTTAAGAAATGAAAACTTTGATTTCTCGACGTGTAAATGCACAAAAATTTACGAAAACCAACAATACAATAATCAACACTTCTAATATTGTATCCACATCTGTGTTGGTCATCTTACAAAATAATTCACGACCCAAATGGCTCAAGCGGTCAGTTTTTGAGAAGAAACTGTGAAACTTCAGTTCGTTTTTCCGATAAGGGTACCATAAGCATTTTTTGAGAATTTAAAAAACTCATTCTGCACCTGTTCACCTCATTATTTTATTCTAATCAAAATCAAAGTTTTTATACTTGTTTTCACCATTTTCTAATTTGAATTTATATTCGAAACAGGAACGATAATAGATTGTGTTTGTTTGAAGAAATGATTTCTGATAAATTTCAATATTGGTCCTTTCACAATGATTGAGATCACGAAACGTCGATATGGTTGCGTCAAAATAAGCAGTGAAATCGATGCGAGCACACCGTGAGCCCCCATGAGGCCAAACAAGAAATTGTTCACTGCTAAATGTCATTGTTGAAATGATTTAAATGATTACTAGCAAATTTGAATCTAATTGTAAAGCATGAGCTTCCGAATCATAGTACATCGTGTAGTTGTGCTTTTGTAAATAAGCAAAAATTTGTTTCTTATCTGTGCGCACATTTTCAACCCGAACTTTTGACTCAATTGAACGTGAGCTCGCATGAGGCCAAATAAGAAATTGTTCACTGCTAAATGTGATTGTTGAAATGATTTAAATGGTTACTATTAGGTTGGCGGAAAAATAATGCGAATTTTTAACTTGTGCTCTTGGGAAAGTAATGGCAGAAAAACAGAGAAAACCGCGATAGTAACAGAGGAGCAGAGTGTGTCACCGAAGCTCAACTCTTCGAGAAGTTCTCCCAGGCTGGCCCTGTGCTCTCAATTCGCGTTTGCCGTGATGCTGTCACTCGTCGATCGCTTGGCTACGCTTACGTCAACTTTCAACAGCCGGATCATGGTGTGTTACTTCTCCATTACGTGTCATTGGTTTTTAGGCAATTGCTGATATTGTAATAGTAACAGAGGAGCAGAGTGTGTTTGCTTACACAATCATAATCTTATTTGAAAACATTTGTTCATTTTTTATCAAAAAATGACGGAACAAAAATTTCTTATTCGAGCTGCTTTACTCTATGACTTTAAGCTTGGAAAATCTGCCCGAGAATCGCATAATTCTATTTCAAAGGCCTATGGCGAAGGTAGTATTAGCGAAAGCCAATTTTATTGATGGTTTGTGCGATTTCGAAGTGGAAACGAGAGTCTAGAAGATGAGCATCACGAAGGAAGTCTTCGAAAGCTGGATTAGTTTCAACTTTTGCAAATTATCGAAGAAGAGCTCACTTGCAACACTCGGGAGTTGTCGGAAATATTCAATGTTCATCATAGCACTATTGAAGAGCATTTACATTTGATTGAAAAGTGAAACAGATGCGGAAAATGGGTCCCACATGAACTGACCTTCAATCACAAAATTGTCCCTATGAACACTTGTTCAATTTTGATTCAAAAGTCAAAAGCGCATGATTTTTGGAAATCAATTGTTACTTCTGATGAAACGTGGATATTATATGATAACGTTAAGCGCAAGCACCAATGGCTATCACCAAAGCAAGCCCCGGTTGTCACGTCAAAACCTGGTCCACATGGAAAGAAGTTGATGTTGTGCGTATGGTGGAACTATCGTGGATTGGTTTATTTTGAACTGCTCAAACGGGTAAAACTGTCGCAGCTAAACTTTACAGCGAGTAGTTAGAGCGTTTGAATCAAGTTGTTTCAATCTTTCTCGAAAATCAAGCTTTATCGAAATCTTGACATGACACTTCAAAAATTGGGTTTGCATGATTTTGCAAAACCGCACACGGCAAAGATGACCCTCCAACAAATCGAAGAGATGGGTTGGAAGCTTCTACCTCACGCCCCAAACAGCCCTAACTTGGCCACATCAGACTACCACTTATCCAGGTCTCTAAAGCAATTCATCTCCGATCAGCTGTTCAAGGATTCCAAGGAAGTCGAAAATGCGGTCACCAACTATTTTTCGTCAAAAAGTTCGCAGTTCTTTGAAGATGGAATTATTGAATTGAGCAAAAGATGGTATGATTTCCTAAATAATAATGGAGAATACCTTTTATATTAATCCTCTTTATTTATTGTTTTTTTTTTTGAAATAAAAATCGGATCAAAAAAATTCGCATTATTTTTCCGCCAACCTAATAATTGAATTTGAATCTAATTGTAAGCAAAATTTCCATGGATGCACCACTAACCTTGATAGATCACATCAGCCTGTATGAACAGAATAATTGAATAGTAGATCCATGGCACACCAAGTGATGCTAAGGGAATGATTTCCTAGAGTCAAGTTTAGTTTAGAATTTTATGTTAAATATAAACTATAAACTATAAACTTATTTTACTGATTAATGGTGAATTAAAGATACTGCTTTGTTTGTTTGTACTTTTGTACATTAAACAAGTCTCAAAAATGATGAGCTTCAACACCTCTCAAGTAATAAAAAGAGTAAACATTAAAAAATAACACTAAGAGAGTACTTTGGAATATTATCACTATATTATCACTAAGAGAGTACGATGGCTCTAGTGAACGAGTAAGAGAGTACGATGGCTCTAGTAAGCGAGTAAGAGAGTACGATGGCTCTAGTGAACGAGTAAGAGAGTACGATGGCTCTAGTGAACGAGTAAGAGAGTACGATGGCTCTAGTAAGCGAGTAAGAGAGTACGAATGGCTCTAGTAAGCGAGTAAGAGAGTACGATGGCTCTAGTGAACGAGTAAGAGAGTACGATGGCTCTAGTAAACGAGTAAGAGAGTACGAATGGCTCTAGTAAGCGAGTAAGAGAGTACGATGGCTCTAGTAAGCAAGTAAGAGAGTACGATGCTCTAGTAAACGAGTAAGAGAGTACGATGGCTCACCTGTATACATAAAGCATAAAAGAGTTTCTTTTGCAGCTTTCTTGTCTTCATACTCATATTCGGACTACGATTCGTGATCACATAGTTACACCCACCAATAGATACCCATGCCTGAGATATACAACATTTTTAAAAAAAAAACACTAAAATTATTTTCATTTAACTCTGTTTAAATGTTATTTTAACAGAAAACGTCATTTTTCCTTACTCAATCATTTCCCGACAATAGCAAATTCATTTAGTTACTCAACTTTTCCAATTTCCATAATTTTGAAGCCGCAAAATGTGGAAGATCTACTTTTTATGCTTTCATAAGGCTTTCATTCATTTTATAAGCCCAAACCACTCACATAACTTAGAGCATGAACGGCATAAATGAGCACACCGGCACAGAAAAGATGAATGGCACTGAATTGGATATATGGTGGGTAGAGGGGATCGAAATGAGCCGTGTAAATATCGGTGATATTTGAGAGATACGCAAATGATGGATGGGACTGAAATGAAATGAAAGTAAAGTAAAGTCATTAAAAAGTAAGTGTTAGTTCTGTTAAAGAAAGTAAAGTCATTAAAAAAAAGTCTTGACCCATTGGTATACTGCTATGAAAACGTTGTTTTTGATACATGATTCTGATCTTTCTGAACTCATTTATTATTTTTGATGATGTAAATATAAATTTTGATGATGTAAATATAAAAGTATGTAAATTCAAAAAAAACTTGTATGAGTTGTTGAAAATTGGTGGTGTTTGTCCCTTGATCAATTGGGAAAAACTCGACAAATCCCGATATGAATAAAGGATAGAAAACAAAGAATTGACTCATAAATAACACTTGACCAAGCGTTGATAACCTAGATTATTTTCTTTAATTATTGCTTTAAATTGTTACTTTTTGAATTTGAATTTTGACTATTTCGATTATTTTATACAATTCAATATCGATTTTATACAATTCAATAGGCAAAACCCATTGTCATCAATCAAAGACAGCAGTGAAATCAAAGCAGGCTCTAACCATTAATGTGTAATTAATGATTAGAAACTGCTTTGATTGATGATCTTTTTTTCTTACTTGTATGAGCTTGATGGCTCTAGAAGACTTTGTAACTTTATAAAAAACGTGCTATCAATCGCAGAAAGAGTGGAGACGACGAGGAAAGCGCCGACTGCCTGCAAGTTATTGATTTTAGAGCCTGAAATCTGTTGCTAAACTTTTTTGAATTTAAATAAATCCAGTAACATGGTGACTTTGAGTTATCTCTATCACTTTTTATGCGCAAATGTTATCTCTATTACTTTTTATATAGACTTAGGCTAAACTAATACTAACAAGCACGTATGTTTAGGTTATATTGTATTGGGTTGGTGAATTGAAAACTGCCGGCTATTGTCATATGTGACAGTTTGAGCACTTTCTTCAAAAAGAAACCCATTTTGGTGTCAATGGAAAAGTTGTAGAAAATCAAAAATCAAGCTTATATCCAAATTTTCAGAACGATTCAAAAACTGCTTTTGAAGAAATGCCAAATTTATGAATTTTCACAAAACTTCCATTTTAAACGAAACTACTAAGTGTATCTTTTTGAAAATTTGGCTATAAGCCTCATTTTTGATTCTCTACAACTTTTCTATTGACACCAAAATGGGTTTCTTTTGAAGAAAGTGCTCAAACTGGGACATCTCCAGTCCCCCATTTTTGAGTCTCACACTTGTCTCACACACAAACCAAAATCCTACCACGAAAGAGGAATTCGCAAATTGCCTATAAAATGGACAGAAGTACAGAAGTAATAATGGAAATTATTTGGAATGAATTCATGGTTTTCTGTTAAATAAATTTTAGTTCAAAATCCGTCAGTTTTCAATTGAATTCAGCAAAACTGACTCGCTCTAAAATAAATAGCCTTGTTTGGGAACTTTTGGCGCATTCCCCATACAGTCCGGACCTCGCCCCTTTTGATTACTATTTATTCCGGATCATGAGTAATGAGCTTGCGGGAGAACACTTCGATTCGGAAGAAGCAGTCAGAAATTGGCTTTGAAAGTTTTTCGATTCAAAACCAAAATCCTACCACGAAAGAGGAATCCGCAAATTGCCTATAAAATGGACAGAAGTCGTCAATAATAATGGAAATTATTTGGAATGAATTGATGGTTTTATGTTGAATAAACTTTAGTTCAAAGTCCCTCAGTTTTCAATTCACCAACCCAATACGATGTAATGTGGGCAAACTTTTGATACGATAAAACAATATGAAGACAATTAGTTTTTGGATTACTATATTAGATTAGATATTAGCTTTATGAAGGGTGTTACTATGGCTTGTTTCGCCCCGAAGCCAAACACCGAATCCCATATGCCCAAAATTCGACCGCCAATCGCCGGAAACATCAACTCCGGCTTGATCAATAGCAAAACGAAATCCAAAGCTATAGTGCACAACTGAATTGGATTTAAATTCAATTTTAAAGCTTAAAACTCTCTTTCAAACTTGGGTGTAAATTAGCGGAATCTTGTACTCTTTCATCTCAATCGGCGTCTTTTTCACAATACAATATAATGCGAAGAGATTTATCGGCATTGAAATAATAGAAATGATATATTCAAAGATTAGATAGATTATTGGTTCATCAAACATACTTTTTGATGTAAAATCAATAGTTTCTTGTTTAAAAACGATCAACTAATTTTTGCACCTGTTCTTCTCATACTTATTACTTTTTTTATTGCTTTCAATAAAATCTTTTTTGATTACTCATACTTTAGATTTACAAAGTATCTCTTTAGCTTGTTTAGACATGCTTTTTTTTATTACTTTCAATAAAATCTTTCAAAATTCTCTCGTTTTCAGCTAAAAATTAGATAAAATTTGCTATCTAAACTTCATAAGCGTTTTGAATTTTGAATAGTCTTATAGAGAAATTTTCAGTAAAATCTCGCCCACGACTTCTCGATACTACCACAACTCCTCAGGGATAAGGATTGGAAACAATCGGGAGACCACAACGAGGACTACGACAAGAACCAGGGTCAAGGAATGCGAGAAGACGTGCAGTGCGCCACAGACCAAAGATCAGAGGATCTCAGACGCGACCAAGAAGCTGCTCAAGATGAGGATCCACGTCAAGAACAACACCAACTCCACAGAGCTGGAACCAAGAGCAGCTGACAAAGCATGCCGCAGCACAAGAGTGGCAGAGACGGTCAGAGAAAGGATGGCTAGCGTGCAACCACCGCCAGCACAAGCAAGTGGAAGACTTCGAACCAGGAACAATCAAGATAGGATACACTGGATGATAATAGCAAGGGATAGGGAAATATGGAAGCAGGTTGTGGTCTGCGCAAAGAGGAGCACCTAAGTGCGAAGACAGATAAAAAAAAATATTTTGGATAGACTGATGTTATAAGACCTTTGCGTATGACTGTAAAGTGATATAAATTTAAAGTGTCAAGAAAAGCTTTTATCTTTGCTATTTCTAGCATATCAAAAAGTTTAGTGTGTCAGAAGAATGATTGGGACAATGTTTTAACCATGATTTCCTCAGGGTGACCATGAATGACAAAATCTTTTGATTTACTTAAAACAAACCTTATTTAAAACTCCTTTGTCATCATGATGGTGTTGAGGAGAAGTAAAATCAGACAATATTTAAACATTTTCAAACTTTCTAAACTTTTCTTGAGCTTTTATACCTAGCCAATAGAGTAATTCGAATTATTTTCGAAATCCTTTGATCTTTCCGCTGTTTATTATTAAAGTAAATTAAGAATCTTAAAATTATGTCTAAAAATGGAAACAGATAAAAAGCTTTCTCTTAAACGTTTCCGCTACAAACGTTTTAAAACAAAAACAAAACCTTGAAAACAAGCGAACCAGATGAAAAGCCAAAGGATCAGATGCTAAATGGTGACTTTACAGTACAGCTACCGACTTATATTTTGAAAGATTTCCCTTGTTTTGATGCAATTGTGATTCAAATAAAATATCTAACGATCCTTATAAATGAGCAAATGACAAATTAGATGTTTTCGAGACGTTTCTTCAATGATTTTCCGAGTGATCGTTGTGATTCGGATAAGGATCAAATGTTAAAGAAACAAATAAAATAAAATCATTATGGTGATAAAAATAAGGAAAGATTGAAGTCAAAAACAAAAATAAAATCGAATTACTGGAAAAGTTTGGAATAAAAGAGTCAAATAAAAAGGTGTAGCTATGGCTCTTCCAGTTTAGAATGTGTTTCTTCACTTCAGTAGATCAATTAGAGTAGACTTCAACTCACTTCAGTAGATCGACTTAAGATCAATCTTAAGTGAAAGGTATTAATTCTTTTAAAAGATAATTTTCTCAACTGTTACTAAAAGTATTTGAGTGTTGCAAGAGAATCATTGCTCAAGGTTTCTACAAGGCTTGCTAAAAACTTATTAAACATTTGCCCATTAACTAGGCTACTTCATTGAAATAAACTCTGCAATCCAAATTTGAGCTAAAACCTCGAAAATTTATCTATTTTCTGACACTTTTGAAGTTATTTGAAATAACTTTTTTAAGAGTATCATTTTCTAGAAAGATTTTCAAGAAAGATCGAAGATCTATGAGTCATTAATCCTTTCGTTTTCATCCTCATCGATCATTCGGCAAAGGGAGTGGTTCTATTTTTGTTGCTCAAGGAAAATGCCAGCATCTATTGTGATTCGAAACTTCATTCAATTCATTCAATCAAATTCTAGAATTATTTTTTTCAAACATCATGCCTAACGACACAGGTGATTTATTAAGAACTTTGTATGAGCGGTGGGACAAATGCTACCTTTTTTGGCGCATCGGGACATTTGCGCACCTTTTTTTTCGCTGGAAAAGGCCGTAGAGCTTTAAAAATGTCTTCCAGAAAGGGAATCGTATGCGTAGATTCCGAATTTCGACAAATCAGACCTCGCTGACACGTCAAATTTGGGCTAAAAGGCAAAAACTGCGGAAAAGCGTTAAGTTGCGTAGTTTTTGCCTTTTAGCTCAAATTTGACGTGTCGGCGAGGTCTGATTTGTCGAAATTCGGAACCTACGCATACGATTCCCTTATGTGAAAACATTTTTGAAGCTCTACGTAAAAATAAAACAAGGAAATCACAAATGTCAAAAAGTCAAATAGTGACTCAGGTACATTTTCGAAAACGACTACTGATGAAATTGAGATAAGGCTAGTTTTTAAGAGCCTTAGCAAGTAGACATTGTTTTCTAAAAAGCGCAACACTCAGCTATACTTGATTAGATTTCAAATCGAAATCATAAATGTATCAAATTTTCAGAAACATCGCTGCTTGGTGAGCTGGAAGCTGAATTTAAAAAGGTTTGTGGAAATATTTCTGTAAATATCTTCACCATTTCTGTAAATAACTTCACCATTTCTGTAAATATCTTCGCCATTTCTGTAAATAACTTCACCATTCCTGTAAATATCTTCACCATTTCTGTAAATATCTTCACCATTTCTGTAAATATCTTCACCATAAATGTTTCTTAGTTGTTTGTTGCCAACTTTATCTTTTCAAAAGTAAATTAGTTTCTCAGTTTTCCATGTTCAATTTCAGATCAAAGGAAGCAAAACTTTCTACGATTTCCTCCATTTTTCCACAAAAAAACTTTGGGGAACCGGTGAGTTTTCTCAAAAAAAAAAAAATCCCAAAAACATTGCAGGATGTGTGATTTTCTTAATCTTTCTGCACATTCTGCCAGTAGCTATGTTATTGATTGGTGGCTTCTCTGAGTGAGTTCTCAAGATAATTGTAGTTGCCTTGCTCTTACAGTTTATATTCAAGTAAGGTACGCAATGAATGATTCAGTTGCGAGGCGGGTCGATGGCTTCCACGTTGGATGATAATCTCTGGCTTTTTGGGGATTTTGATCATAATCACTTGTTATTGTTTTGGTTATCAGGTTTTGTGGAATGAAATGTTTATAAATCGATGACATTTAGGTGGTCGACGAAGATAACAATCATTGTTTTTGTTTCACTCTGCTCAGTTGCTTCAGTTTCATGATGGCATTCTTTGTGGCAATATGGTGAGTCGAGATCAAAAGTTTCATGACTAAGAAAAAAGTGTTTTACAATTAGAAATTGGTATTAATTTTATAACCAGTTCAATAAATGTAAACTGTAAATTTGAAGAAATAAATCTTTATCGACTATTCAAAGATCTTTTCTAGGTACATTGTCGGTTTATTTTCTGCTTATTCAGCCTATCTCAACTACAATCAAGAGAATTGCTCTGGCTTTCTTTTGTATTTCAGGTTTGAGAAATAAAAAGTAATCGAATAATCGAATAATCGATTTTAGTCTTTTTCTGGTGACAATGGGATGGTTGATTCCTCTCCTTTTATGTGTTTCTCTTTCTTGTCTTTGTTGTTTTGGTTTTCCCAAGAAATAAACTGTATCATGATGTCGAATTTTGATGTGATCGTTTTGATTTGATTCGATGTGGTCACCAAACAAACAAATTTTATTGAATAAAAAGTTCTTTCACTAATATTGAGCCTTTGATTTCTTGCAGACCATTCAGAGCATTGATTGCTTGTGGACGAACAGCTTTCGCGTCTTTGAAGTCACTCGATTTTGGGCTTACAGTAAGTGCTTAGGCTTAGGCTTGGGCTTAGGCTTAGGATTAAAAAACAAAAATCAAAATTGGAAACCCATTTTGTTATCAGATCACTGGGGCATTCTACATTACTCAGTTTTTACAGATGATTCAAACATTGAAAGACTCACATCCTGAAGGAAAAGAACGATTAGAGAGCTAGGTCAATTGGGACAAACAGTGTGTTTTCTTTAAACAAGAACTCGATCGAAGAACCTATCCCATTCTATTGGTTTCGAGCATTCGATGCTCCAAGTTTTGAGGAAATTCAACAGCTGTGAACAAATGAAACACTTATGACATACTGATAATATTTAAGTCTTACTTTTTATCGAGTTTATGCACATAATCAAATACAATTTGTTACTCATTTGAGATGCAGACTAGATTTGAAATAAAAATACTCTAAAGAACTCAAAAAAGTGGTTAAACGAAAACTTTTGACTTTAGTCTTGACGTCAAAATATTAAAAACATAATTAAATTAACTCTTGGTTTTGCTAAAAAAGTTATTAGTATTATGCAAGAATTTGAAAAATTTAAGAAACCGCTCACAAATGGATTGATAAAAGTTGTCGTATTCTTTTGGAACTTTGTGTAAAGTGTTCTCGTAATGATGATTGATCAATTTGAAAGCTGAAATAAAGCTTCACAAGCCAAAAAAGATGACAGCAAAAGCGTTCAAGGGCACTTTGTTCGGTTTGGCGGATTCTCTCCGTGAAAGAGAGCAGAGGAAGGAAATATTTCTTCTCCATCAAACACATCAAATGATTTCCCTTGCGTAAATGAATCGTTGCTGTGTCAGAAATTGTCATTTATTTCGAAAATCTTTCACAATAAGAAACTTATAAATCTCTAAGCCTTGAGTTTATCTACTTATCTTTTGAGTTTTGGGTGTTGTTCATCAACTTCTGTTGCTTCTGTTGCAAGGTTGCCTAGCTCTAAATCTATTTGTTCAGTATATTAAGTAAAAAAAGTTTTTATTATTGAGAAATATAATAAAAAACATTGATTTTAATTCTTTTAGGTTAGAAATCATATGTATTAATTACCAAGCTCTATATTTTTTCAGATCATGACTTCTCAGCCAGTCGGCCAGGGAGCTCAGGGTTTTGTGGTAAAGCTGGGCGATCATACTCCGTAAGGTTAAGAAATCAACAAATAAAAGGATGTTTAGATGGATAGCCGCCAAATACATTCGCATCGATTTCAAGAAAGGCGAACGATTGTATAGAAGAGAGTTGAAAGCTTTGGAGAGAGTTCGACATCACCCAAATATTGTGACACTTTATGCTAGTGGGGAAGAGATCGATGAAAGGAATTGTCGATTTTATGTCTACTACATGGAGTACTTCGAACGACAATCTTTGAGGCACGGTAAAGAGTTTCACGCAAATTGCCAATTACCAGTTGCACTTCATTTTGTTTAGTTCTTGAAGATCAAAGAGTGATCTACGATGAGAAGACGGTCTTTGGATGGGGAGATCAGCTTGCATCGGCTTTGGTCTGCCTCCGAGAAAACAAGATCCTTCACCGAGATCTCAAACCTGAAAAGTGAGTCTTTGTCTAAATAGTGAATCTAAAGTTAGTCTAGCATTCTCATGACAGATCATTTCATTGTTAAATTGGCTGACTTCGGGTTGGCGAAGCATTTGAAGGACATGAGCGAGATGACCTATGGAGGAACTCGTCGATATATGAGCCCCGAACAATCAAAAAGCAAGGTCTTATTGAAAAAACCTTAATATACATTAATGTTTAAAATTAGACGAACTACAAGAGCGATCTCTGGGCGTTTGGGTTGATTCTTTGGGAGATGGTCGAAAGAAAGTTACCTATTTGACGATCTTTTTTTAAACAACAAGTTGTAGGAAAGTGTTTTCTCCTAAGTACGATCTTCGCAATGACTTTAATCTTGAACAATTGGTTCATGATCTCAAGACAAACAGCGTCCCCCTAGAGTTCATTAATTGCTCCCATCAACCACTTCGAGAGCTGATTCTAGAGTAAGTTGTGAGTTGTAAATTGAATCCAAACTTCTAGATGCACCAAATACAAAGACTCGGATCGACCGGAAATTCAAGAGGTTCACAAAAGATTGGCTGAAATGAATTTGGTAAGAAAAGACGCTCCTCTAGTTATGATTTAGATTTCAGGCGTGTGCTGGGGTGTCTTTTGAGCCAATTGTTCGAATCGATCAAACAGCCTGTCTACTGCCAACATTTTCCGAGTCAAGCCCTCCTCTTCGATCATTCCCTCGCAATCATTCCCATCGATCGAGTTTTCGAGGGCTAATGTCTGACCTGCCGGGCTTTTTCAGACAAGGAAGTTTGAGAAAAGCCAACGTGCAAGTTGATGCTAATAACGGTCAAGATTCGCCAGTCTTGGAGAATAGCAACGAGCTATTGTTGAAACTGAAATCTGTCGCCCATCAAGCGCGAGTACTTGAGCTAATTGAGAAACAGATTGAAAAACTCCGAACCCTTCCGAATAACGGCTTGTACCTAGCGGACGAATGTGCAAATGTTCCCTCGATTCTCGATGAAGATTCATTGGAACTTTTAAACGCAGAAGGTCCGGATAAAACTCTCAGAGAAACGACAAGAGATCTATTAAAGAAATTTGAAAAGTGCGCCCAGCTAAACTACATAAACTTGATCGAAAGCTACAACGGAGCCCTGAGACATTACAGAAACTGTCGACGAAAAGGAACAAAGCTTGTTGACTTGATGAGTGGCGTCGAAAAAGTTTATCGATTAATTGATAATCTATCCGGCAATCTCTTCTACAAACAATGGTTTACCTTGGCTCTTTATGAAAGTAGTACAAAGAGATTCTTTTTACGATCTCGAAAGAAAAATTCTTTCTTTGACTCAGAGTTGAGAGAGAAATTTGTCTTGAAAGGGCGATTTGTTGAGGAAGAAAATAGAAATTTCTTTAAAGAGGAAGGTTTTGAAGAAGTTTATCAAGAAGTTTTCATCAAAGGATTCCATATAGAAGATCTGTTTCACGATTTGAGAACTTTCTTGAAGAGTCGAAAGGATGAGATTGCATGGAATCGTTTGAGTCTTTTTCTCACGAAGTACAACTTGAAAACAAGAAATTTCCCATTTTCGAGTTATGTTTTTAAAAACAAGACATCTATAGAGAATCTTTATTTGATGAAAAGTTCAGATATCGAGATGAAAACTCTGATTGAGTATGAGGCTCTTCGTCAGGAGTTCGAAGGTGCATTCAAGTTGATCAGAAGTCCACCGAATAGTTACGGAAACACTAATTTATTGAAAAACATTGAAAGCTGCATTGAGCGTTTGGAAAAGCCGAGGAAATGCCCAAACTATTTCAAGTTTGATTTGAAACACTCTTTTGTGCTAGAAAAAGTTCATGGAAAAGACCTGACAAAGTGGCAAACAAATTTTCAATCAATGATTCCAAAGTTGGGAATCGATTTGTTTGATGAGGGTTCTCAACGAGAAGAGGATTCGAATTTCACTTGGATTCCCGCGCATGTTCTTGTAAAGACCCTCAACAAGATCCGAGAGGAAATTCTAAGAGAAATCAATGCAAGATTTGACAAAACTGATGTCAATGGACTGGATATGCTGGGCTTTTGGTGTTGATGGTTTGTGTTCATGAAACTTTCCAGTTATGCGCTTTGTTTCCAATTGCGATAAGAAGCTGCTTTTGGGTCCATGGTTCTGACACCAAAGTGGAGGATAAAGTTTTTGTTTGATGAAAAGTATACATCACAAAAATGATCTTCAAATTACCGAAGACTTTGTTGCCCCAATTTCGATGACTATTTCAAACATTGATGTGATTATGAGTTTCAAATAAAGATTTTTCAGTTTCAGTCAAGAAACAAGCAACGATTTTCTAATCATTTAACAAAATAAAAGGGGAACTTTGTGATTAAGATAAATTTATCTACAGGGTGGGGCATAAGTATGGTTACAGACTCAGAACCGTGTATCGTAATGAAATATGAACGGATTCATGTAAACTTCATTTAAAATTAATAACAGTAATCATGTTGATTTAAAATGTTGGTGTTGATGGTTTACGTTCATGAAACTTTCCAGTTATGCGCTTTGTTTTGAATTGCAATAATAAACTTCTTTTGTCTCCATAGTTCTGAGGAGGATAAGGTTTTTGTTTGATAAAAAGTATACATCACAAAAATGAGCTTCAAATTACCGAAGACTTTGTTGCCCCAATTTCGATGACTATTTCAAATTTGGAGCCAACATTGATGTGATTATGAGTTTCAAATAAAGATTTTTCAGTTTCAGTCAAGCTAAAAGTAACAAGCAAGTCAACAAGCAGATTTTCTAATCATTTAACAAAATAAAAAGGGAAATTTGGGCAGTTCGTTTTAACAACTTTCGTTTGTTTTATAAGTTGTTGATTGTGTTGAAACTTGGCTCAGCTTTCACAATATAATCACTAAAATCACATAAAGGTTTTCCTTTTTGGAAAGAACTACCCAAGAGTCAAAGGAATTTGTTGATTAATCGTAGACTTGAACACCAAATACCATTTCTGAAAGACTTGCGTGCAAACGATCTCTGAGTAGAATATTTAGTGATCTGGCTTCGATATTCACTGTCTAACATCTTCAGAAACTCTCCCGTCAAATATTTATACATTTATATAGTAGATTGAGAGTACATTCAAACCTCGTTAGTAAATAACTCAAGGGGAAATCTACTTACTATCGAGGTTAAATGGAACGTTTTTTCGTTGTTTTTCATTGAATGAATCGTGCTATAAAGTTATTTCATTGGCTTCTTGAATCTATTAGATGTAAGGTACGGGCTAAAGAAGCTGCATCACAGCATTGAGTTAAAGTTTAGATAAATTTTAGTACTTTTAGATAGAGTTTTGAACCTCTTTTCATGCGGTGAAGTTACACACCGCTCATGAATGCCTTGTCTTTTTGTTAAATCAACCAAAGGTGTTAAATCTTCAACTTCTTTTCATAATCTTGTATTTAGTGCTTAAAGTAGACATAAAAGAGCTTAGATCGTAACATTTCCCAACAAATCTCACCTTTCAAAAATCTCGTCAAAGATTACCAAAATGACCTTGACATCACTTTTCCACATGACTCAAAAAACAAGCATGATCTTTTCTTCTCACAAGAAATCGTTTTTTCTCGTTTTTAGTCTATTTTAAGATCGTTCTTTTCGAAAAACTATCTACCGTTCGGTTTCATTTTGAAAGAAAATGGAACAGAATCCACTACTTAAGCATAAGGGGATTGACAATGAGGACAACAAGGAAACAACTCGACTACAAGGAAAATGGTTGGTTTATTTCAAGTTTGTTAGTTAATAAAAAGTTTTCTTTTAGAATACTTGTCTTTTCGTCTGTTTTGGTCTCATTTTGGGGGTTAATTCGAAAGAATTCCTCCAGGAAGAACTGGTGGAAATGGTGATGTTGAAGACGAATTTGTGGATGGCTGAGAAGAATGAGAAAATGGATATGGACAATAGGCACACGATTATGGATGCCAAGTTTATTGAGGTTTGTGTTAATCATTTATTAAAGTTTGCTTTATAAAACAAAAGCAACGTTGCCATGATCAGACTTAAATACTCATTAGTGCCATGTGCAGAAAACTCACAAAAGCCAATGGGCCATGTGCACTAGATGGCAAGCATTTATGTGAAAGGATTACATGCAATAGTCGTAAGTGTTTTAGATTCCTGAAGGTACTCTAACAATCCACCGTGAACTTGGAGCATTTAATGGGACAAACAAAATCGCCTCATCGGCTCCAAAATTCTTCGATGCTCGAGAGAGATGGCCCAAGTGTCCCTCAATTGGAACGATTCGTGATCAATCGAATTGTGGATCCTGTTGGGCTGTGTCGACGGCTTCGGTGGGTTATAAAATTGATCGGCCTTAATCAAGTTTCTCTTCAGATGGCCTCCGATCGAATGTGCATCAATGCACCCCATTACTCGCTGATGCTCTCAGCAGAAGATTTGTTGACCTGTTGTGGCACACAGTGTTCAACATATGGTGGGTGCACGAGTGGATGGCCGATTAATGCACTGAATTGGTATGTTCCTGGAGGGAGATATCTTCATTTAGAGTTATTCTTATTCAGGTGGGTCACCAACGGCCTGGTCACCGGTTCAGGCTACGACGAACGTCAAGGTTGTCGTCCGTATTCAATCTATCCATGTGGTTGTCACCACGGTGTATGTCGGAATTGTCCAAAAGAACTCTTCGCTACACCAAAATGCATTCGACAATGTCAACCAAGCTATTCAAGAAACTACACGAATGATAAATATTACGGGAGAGCGGCTTATCATGTTCATCACTCCGTTGAATCAATCCAAGCAGAGATCCTCGCTTATGGACCTGTTGTGGCCACATTTAGAGTCTATCAAGATTTTGATGTCTATACTCAGGGAATTTATTATGTGAGTTTTTCTATAGATAAAGTAGATCTTAAAGAATAAAAATTCAACAATTCAAATCAAAACTATCTAAATTTTAGCACGTTGCTGGTGCTTTCAAAGGAACACATGCGGTGAAGATCATTGGATGGGGTGTTGAGGTTGGTTGTAGGCTTCAGTTAAAGAGTGTATTTAACCTAAGCTAATATATTATTTTTATGAAATATTTTCAGAATAACACACCATATTGGCTCGTAGCCAATTCATGGAACAGCGATTGGGGTGAGAAGGGTCTCTTCCGAATTCGACGGGGAAACAATGAGTGCGGCATTGAAGAAGCCGTTGTGGCAGCTCTGCCGGCCAGTTAGGCGATGGTTTTACCATGTACATAGTGCAAATAATGTAAATAATGTAAATAAATGTATTTATAAGGTTTCCAGTTTTTGAAAGACACAAAACTGACACAACATTTAGGGCAAATGTCAAAGAGATCAAAAAGTGCCGGAAATCAAAGTAATTTCTAAAACTTCTAGCAGACTTCGTCAAATGATACACGTTTGATATCAGTAGAAAGGTTAACTAATTGTCTACAAAATGACATTTAAAAGAGAACTCAAACAGGGCCTCAGCTCAACAAAAGGCCATTTTTCACAAAATCTATAAACTGTCGTCTAGGGAAAACGGTTGGAGGGATCTTGCTGGAAAGTTGGCAACTTATGTAATTGAGTGTGCTCTATCTTTTTTATTCGGCACCAAAAGAGGTTTATGTGGAAGATAATATTCAAACGATGAGCCGGAATCTTTGCCATCTTTGGGAGTCCATAAATTCGACGAAAGAAAAGCTTTGTGGAATCTCTCAAAAGTCATTTTGTAGAGAAATAGTGAACAGTGAAAGTTGATGAGTTATGTGGAAGCCATGTGGAAGATACTATTCAAACGATGAGTCGGAACCTTTGCCATTTTCACTAGCTGTGTTTGGGAGTTCATAAATTCGACCAGTTGCGAACAAGACGAGCATCATTGACGTCTGAAAATTGAGGGATTGTTGAGAATCGTGGCATTCGTGGCGAATCCCCAATAAATCAACACTAGAAAAAAGAAAATCATTGTTGAATGGCTTTTCAAACAAGGAAAGACAAAAATGAAATCAGCATCGATACTTAAATGTATTAAAATAGTGCGAATGTTGAAAGGCTTTTTAATGCCTCCTTTTGCGAGTTTTCATCAATTTTTCAAACAGAAAATCGAAATGTGAAGCCGTTTTTTGTTTTGTTGTATGCAATTAGGTGGAGCGGAGTGAATGTAGAGAAATCAAACGTTTAGCCAAAAGAAAAAAGTACACATGAAAGTCGAGAAAAGCGCCGAAAACGATTCAGTGACTTGCGACTTGGTTTTCAGATCAAAAATGACAAGCTTCTTCTGCTAGTTTTGTGATTTGTTTTTGAAAATTTCTGAAACTTCAAGTTAAAGAAGGTAAAAAAGAGGATTCTATTAAAATGAAACGAAAATATTCTAGGTTAGTTCCCTAACTTTAGTTCTTTTTTTAACAAAAACAACGATACAACTGAATTTAAGTTTCTAAAACTTCCAAGAACAAAACTTACAAGATAAGGAGGTTGTTTTACAGTAAATCGACTTTTAACTCTTTCAATGGACTTCTCAATCGACAATGGTTTGCTATTGTCGAGACTATTTAAAGCAACAGAATAACATGAGTTTTGCAAATAAAGCTATTGTAAAACTGGCAAAGATTTTTTATTTGATGCTGATTAGTCTCGAAAAGCAAGCCGACTCAATAAGTGCCCCCCTCTCCCCACCAACTCCTCTCCCGTCCCCTTCCCCACCGTCTCCAATTCAAGTCCCTTGTGTTCCAATGCTCGTTGACCATTCCATTTCCTTCATTCCATTTCCTCAATGATATTTTGTCTCAATGATTCCCGATTACACCAAAAATATCTAACGTTTTTAAGCTTTTCCCTGTTTTAATGCTCATTCACTGCCCCGTCATGTTGATTTCTCTTCTTTTCTCAATTGTCGCCATTTCACCTGTGATTCTTGCTCAATATGGGGCACAGGTAGACAAGTGAGCACTAGTTAGTGACATTCAGCTCTGAAAAGTGTAGCTTTCATTACTGTAGTTTACTAAACACCTTTTAAAAAGGTACATTGTTTTATTCGGAGTGGGTAGGCTCGTAGGCTTTCTGACTGCTACGAATTAGTGCTGTATGAAAAATTGAAACCAACTGAATAACTTGAAAATTGAGTGAACAAATGACACTTTTACCGTAACATACTTTTTTTATATGACACTAGCCGGATCAGGATTCCTTTTATAGATAACTCAAAATTTTACAAGCAGTTTGTTTTAGCCAACCGCTCTAGACACTCCTCAATCCTCGCTACCGTACCCAGCTCCATGTGAGTTCAAGAAAAAAACATTTAAAATTTATCTAGAAAACAAAGTGAATAGCTTTCTGGTTCTTTTTCAAAACCCCAATTCAGAAAGCTCAAATTATGAAAATAGCGTGTTCCTAATCATAAAATTTCAATCCTCTAGAAAGTGCAAAGTTATATCAAGTTGTAATAATTGTTAGGATGATCAGATCAAATGTTTGAAGATTCGCTGAAATGGGCAAAAACTGTTAGATGATTCTTTGTGGAGATTGGTCTCAGAAAAAATGTACCCATTTCAACACTGTACTTGCACAATTTCAGACTACCCAACTCAAATCTTTTACTCGGAGAGTTACTCATCGTCGAGCAGCGGTGAAGAGGATAAATGTAGTGAGGGTAAAGTGAAGAAAGCACGATGTCCAAAGAGACTTCAATCACATCAAACAACATGCCAGGCACCAGAGACAAGGTTTTTGATCAAGATTCATTTAATCAGCCTTCAATGAACGTTGGATTTAGATCCTTATAAAGAAACTTTGTATTCAGGAGAATCTCGATGAATGACAAAGAATATCTGGAAGTTGTTTGTCATAAAGGAAAAGGATGGACAGCTCTTGTTACCGAATCAGGAAAGGTTAGTTGATTGTCCATAAATCTAGCTAGTTAGCTAAAAAAACATCACATGGTGTTATAGTTGTAGTGATTGTGGGTCTACCAATATGTTTAAGAGAACCCAGGTATGAAATTTCATTTCCAGGTGATCACTGTCACTTCTGGAAGACTCGCACACGTGTTGGCTTGTTCGAACGATGAGTGAGTGCTTTTGCTTTTTGCAAAATCTAAAATATCAGTCACAAATGGAAAACCTTCAACTTCAAAAGCGAGAGGATCCACACGAATCACGTCTTTTGTATCCATGGAGGTTAGTGGACACCTTAACACCTTTGAATTATATAGATATTGTTGATAGATATGTCTTAGATATTGTTGACAAGTTCTTGAACAAGGTTATTTAGTTTATAACTTTTTGGTTTTTTTTGCTTTGCCTTCAATCAAAGTCAATAAAATGTTTAGACAAAATGCGACAAATGTAGCTCATTCGAGAGGATCGAGGATAAACATGGAGCCGTTTCATCATCACAAATCGGGTAAATTTTAGTTGTTGTAAACTGTAAAACTTGTAGTTGTAGTTGTTAAATATAATCCATGGCTAAGCATGTGAAATTTATGGAAAACATTTTATGCTTGTTGAAGTGTAGTTAAATTTAAAATTTCTATTTTTCCAGAAAGTATAAGATTTGAGATTTGAGATCAGAACTCAACCTGCTTTCAGAAATTACCGATTGAAGGGAGTTGACTGCAAAATACAAATGATCAACTGTTCATCGCCAATTGATGGAAAGAAGACAATTGTTGTGATTAAAACGAAAGAGGTGAGTGATTGAATTGAGATGTTTATGATTCACTTTAGGATAAACACAACCATCCACCCAAATGTCATTCGGAGTATGAAATCAAATGTGATGGAAAAGGACAATGGATTTATGTTTGGAATGGGGTAGGTTCAAGGGGTTTATTGTATATTTCTTACATCTTATGAATCAAGGTTAATCAAATGAAATCTGATTCGAATGTTTTGATAAATGAAGAGCAAAAAATTTTTTTAGATGCCAAGAAAAGTACAATCAATTGAATGCATTGGAGTTGGAGACAATCGACAATGTGGATCGACAACCACAACTACTAAATCAACGACAACAACTACGACGACAAGTACAACGAGTACAGCGACTGGACCGCCCACAACAACCACCACTACCACAACAACTACAACTACCACAACAACTACCACAACAACTACAACTACCACAACGACTACAACTACCACAACGACTACCACAACAACTACAACTACCACAACGACTACCACAACAACTACAACTACCACAACGACTACCACAACAACTACAACTACCACAACGACTACCACAACAACTACAACTACCACAACGACTACCACAACAACTACAACTACCACAACGACTACCACAACAACTACAACTACCACAACAACTACCACAACAACTACAACTACCACAACGACTACAACTACCACAACGACTACCACAACAACTACAACTACCACAACGACTACCACAACAACTACAACTACCACAACGACTACCACAACAACTACAACTACCACAACGACTACCACAACAACTACAACTACCACAACGACTACCACAACAACTACAACTACCACAACGACTACCACAACAACTACAACTACCACAACGACTACCACAACAACTACAACTACCACAACGACTACCACAACAACTACAACTACCACAACAACTACCACAACAACTACCACAACAACTACCACAACAACTACCACAACGACTACCACAACAACTACAACTACCACAACAACTACCACAACAACTACCACAACAACTACCACAACAACTACCACAACAACTACCACAACAACTACCACAACAACTACCACAACGACTACCACAACAACTACAACTACCACAACGACTACCACAACAACTACAACTACCACAACGACTACCACAACAACTACAACTACCACAACAACTACCACAACAACTACCACAACAACTACCACAACAACTACCACAACGACTACCACAACAACTACAACTACCACAACAACTACCACAACAACTACCACAACAACTACCACAACAACTACCACAACAACTACCACAACAACTACCACAACAACTACCACAACGACTACCACAACGACTACCACAACAACTACAACTACCACAACAACTACCACAACAACTACCACAACAACTACCACAACAACTACCACAACAACTACCACAACAACTACCACAACAACTACCACAACGACTACCACAACGACTACCACAACGACTACCACAACAACTACAACTACCACAACAACTACCACAACAACTAC